TAGGGCGGGCCATTTTTCAGCTTTGAGTTTGTTGGAAGCTCCCGACTTTCTGCTTCAGGCACGCAAGGTTGGCATCATGATGCCAGTGCAAAAAGAACCGAAACACATGTTCCACCAAGACGGGATTGACTTTAATCTCTCCGTCAGAGGCCGAAACTCGCAATGTGGACGGTATGATTTCTTGCATCTGTTTCCACATGGTGTCGACCGCGCCACTACGCCGGCACCAAGACTGCTCGCCGCCGCCGCCGCAGCCTGCTGTGGAACCTCGTCGCCAGCGACACCGCCGACCGCAGCTGTGCGAACTCCACACTGGTCCACACTGTATGGCGGAGCGGGAACGGGCTCGCGGAAGAGTCTGCATGTCAGCCACAGCTGAAGGATCGGCAACATGAAAGCGCTCGAGCATGTCGTTGTTGCGCATAGGTTTTACAGGTTCGGCGCAATTTTTCTGGCTTGACGGCAACAGAAAATTACCCATCCGAGCCTGGGGCCCCTTATCATGATTATAGCATTAAAACCTTTCTCTTATGCTACGGCCCCTATATCATGGGGTTTGGGACTTTCCGGAGTCGAAGATTGGAGAGTCTCAACGATTCAGAGTTAAGATTTGAAGCTTCTTCTGAGCCTCGTTTTAATTCTTTAAGCTCAACCCCTACAACCCATAAGCCCTGTCGAAGTTTGACCAGATCGCGGGGGGTCTGACCATCGACTTTACAGAGTGGGCAGGAGAGTTCTGCAGCAGAAGATCTCGAAGAAGCGGGCTTAGGGTTTAGGGTGAAGGTGAAGTGACTTGAGATTTTAAAATCAAAGTCCCCGTTTCGGATGGGGCAGCCATGGAGCCACGCCTCTCTTTTCGAATTGATTTAGGGATTAGGGTTGGGAGATGGGGTCAGAGGATTACTGAACACGCAGCCTCCATGACTTAATGCTTCACACCAACACCGCGGACCCTAAGAAGTGAAAAGTGGCAATAGTATTCCTGGAGGTTCCTTATTATAGCTACAGTATAGTACACTAGACCCCAAAGACTGTTCCACTTCTTCGGGCTCTAAACCCTAAACCATGGTGTTGGGGCTACGTATGCAGTTGCGGGCGCAGGAGCCATGACTGAGATTTGTTGGTGTTCTAGGGTTGGAGGCTTTGCTTGTTTGGGCTTCGCTTCTCCTAAACCCTACGCCCCAGAACCGTCAGTGTTTTGTGGGTGCGTTAGCTTGATTTCCAGCCGCAGCAGTAGCAGCAGCACTGTTAGTAGCATTCGTAGCAGCAGTTGTGGTGGTGGTGGTTTGCGGTAGTTTAGGGCGTAGGGTTCGGGGCTCCCTAAACCCCAAACCCTAAACCCTAACAGCTGCAGCAGTAGGTCGACTTTCTGGGAGTGTAAGGAGTCGTCAGGCAAACTCATAGGGTTTAGGGTTCAGGAGGCCTTAGGCGGCTTTCCCTCAGCTTGTAATGGTCAAAAAATAGGGTTCTAAACCCTCCAGATCTCCTGAACCCTATACCTGAAACCCTAAACAACCAAGATCTCCAAAACCCCCACCTCCTACACCCTTGAATCCCAGAAGCTGGCAGCCGTGAGCCCTTGCTTGGGCAATGGTTTATTTTTGAAGAGTGTAATCCCCACTGCTACAGTTCGAGGACTATTCCAGAAAAGTAGGGACGAGACCCCGCCAAAAGGACTTCTACAAGAGCTCAGGACATCCCAAGCTGTGCCGTCTATAGCCCCACACCCTCAGGCCATGCAGCCTCAAGCCCAAGCCCCAAACCCCTGAATACTAAGACCCTGCGGCCTCAAGCCCCTCAATCCCCAAATACCCTGAACCGTCAGGTTCAGGCCATGACTGAGATTTGTTGGTGTTCTAGGGTTGGAGGCTTTGCTTGTTTGGGCTTCGCTTCTCCTAAACCCTACGCCCCAGAACCGTCAGTGTTTTGTGGGTGCGTTAGCTTGATTTCCAGCCGCAGCAGTAGCAGCAGCACTGTTAGTAGCATTCGTAGCAGCAGAAGGTTCGGGGCTCCCTAAACCCCAAACCCTAAACCCTAACAGCTGCAGCAGTAGGTCGACTTTCTGGGAGTGTAGGCAAACTCATAGGGTTTAGGGTTCAGGGGCTTTGTGCAGGCCTTAGGCGGCTTTCCCTCAGCTTGTAATGGTCAAAAAATAGGGTTCTAAACCCTCCAGATCTCCTGAACCCAATACCTGAAACCCTAAACGACCAAGATCTCCAAAATCCCCACCTCCTACACCCTTGAATCCCAGAAGCTGGCAGCCGTGAGCCCTTGCTTGGGCAATGGTTTATTTTTGAAGAGTGTAATCCCCACTGCTACAGTTCGAGGACTATTCCAGAAAAGTAGGGACGAGACCCCGCCAAAAGGACTTCTACAAGAGCTCAGGACATCCCAAGCTGTGCCGTCTATAGCCCCACACCCTCAGGCCATGCAGCCTCAAGCCCAAGCCCCAAACCCCTGAATACTAAGACCCTGCGGCCTCAAGCCCCTCAATCCCCAAATACCCTGAACCGTCAGAACCCTAAAGCCCTATTTCCTGAGCCCTAGACCCTAAGCCCTAAATCGCGAAAAGCCCCAAACACCCGAAGTCTAAGCCTTGGCCGCCCAGGCCACTGGGGTGGCAACAGCACTCGGCGGCCCGGTGCTAGGAGGGCTGGTGGGCGCTGGCATGGCTGCGGCTTAGCTGATTTAGGATTTTAGCCTTCGGGGTTTAGGGTTTAGGGTTTAGGGTTCTAAATTTTGGACATCGGGCTTAGGGTTTAAGGATTTTGGGTGTAGAGTTTGGGATTAGGCATTTTGGGTTCGGGGTTTAGGGTTGGGGAGGTTTAGGCTTCCACGGTTCACATAGCCAAGGGTTGAGCTACCAGGATTTTGTGAGTTGGCGTTCAGGGGGCTCGGATTTTGTGATTTTCTAGTGCTTTTGCACCATTGCAAGGACTTGCAGCGATGATTTGCGTGTTCTGCTCAGGGGCCCGTAGACGGCCTAAACCCTAATCCCTGATCCCTAAACCGTCTATACCCCCTAAACCCTAAACCCTGATCCCTAAACCGTCTAAAGCCCCTAAACCCTAAACCCGAAGCCCTAAACCCTAAACCCTAAACCCGAAGCCCGACACCTTGGAAAGCCCAGGCTCTTGGAGTAGGAAGCCTCAGGGCCTGAAGACTCCCTAAACCCTAAACCCTAAACCCTAAACCCTAAACCCTAAACCCTAACTGTGGGCTCGAACTTCAGGGGCTCTGAAACCGGAGTCCACGGCTGCGAGCCCCTGTCCCCCTAAAGGGTACCATGTGGGATTCTATGAGAGGGCTCCCTTTAAGGCTACCGTGGGGTCCTGGGGTCCTATAAGTGGGCTTCCCTTTAAAGGCCCTAAATGAATAACCACCAATGGAGGTACGGATCATTAGTAATAGTGCTTTGTTTCTATAGCTGATAGCTCTTACAAGACAAAGACGGTATGCCCCAGGGCACCACAGCTCTAGTCCAACTGTTGGTGGGTCCTCTAGGACTCCCAGGTTGTGGACTGAATCCCAAACAAGAACTCAGCTCAAGAGCCTCCCCCAAACCCCCCAAGTTAAACCCTTCCACGCTTTCAGGGTTTGGCGCTCCTCTAACCCAAAGCCGAAACCCGAGCCCCGACCCACAACCAAGCCAAAACCCTCCAAGTCCTATGTAAATCCGAAACCGAATCCAAGCCAAAGAAACTTTCAGAGGCTCGGGATTCGATGAGCCCGCAGTCCTCGCGGACGATGAAGGGCTTGTTCGGTTGATCCGGCAGGGGCCTGGGGCCTGGGTGCTCTTAGGTTCAGTGTTTTGTTTTTTTGGGGTTTTAGGGTTCAGCCTCTCATGTTGGGTTTAGGCTTAGGGTTTTGTTTTGAGGTTTAGGGTTCAGCGTTTTACACTGTTGTTTAGAGTTTAGGGTTCTTCTTACGCTGCCGCTTGGGGCTTGGGGTGTAGGGGCCGCAACAGAGCTTTGGGGTTTAGGGTTTAGCCTTCGAGCCGGGTTTCGAGACTTTAGGTGCTGAGTACTGTGCCAACACGCATCGATCGATAGCTGGCTCGCACGCATCGGTTCCAGGGAATCGGCACAGGCTTCAAAACTTCAGGGTTTGGTGTCTATGCTGTGGGCTTTAGGGCTTGGGGTTTAGGATGCTGGTCTTATCTCAGTCCGGACAAAGGACACATGCCTGGGGCAAAGACCCTCTTCGCATGGTAGCGGCAAGTCAGAAAACAATCGCGTCGCACAGCCTCGTGATAGATTACTATCACTACCACCGTTGCCATTACCCTTACTATTACTCGTACCAACCCTAAACCCAAAGCCTTCATTATTACTTATATAATACTATTACCAATACACAGGCTTTCAGGGCTCCGTTGCTTCCGTCAGGCACAAGACTGAGGATCCATGCATCCCGGATCCTTCGCAACGTCGATTGCGCGTTACTCTTGAAAGGTTGCTTCTTTAGGGCTTTCCCTAAAACCTAAACCCTGAACCCGTGGGCACTCTGGCTTGAGTTGACGGCCCGAATTCTCTGTCTGGTGTTCGTTCGTTGAACCTGGAGCCTTGAATGAAGCATGTGTTGATCTCGATCGGTCGCCACAGTTCGGGTTTGGGGTGCCGAGTGTCGTGTGGGTTTAGGAAGTCCGATAGATTAGGGCTTCATGGCTTTTCAATGGCAATTGCGGTGAAGTTTCGAGCCGTGGAGAAGGAGGACAGATCGATTAATATAGATACTATTTTGGGGTTCCTGATTATATTTATAGTACCAAATACCCCAAAACCCTATTCTATTTATGTAGGCCGCTGCATTAGGGATCTACGACCAGCGTGCTTTTCAGACAGCATGTGCGTTCATGGCATGCCTGGCTCGATCGTAGGTGTTGTCGTGTCCGTTTCAGGAGAACTCGTAAGAGCTATTGCAGAGCCGTGGCACTTGGCTGTGGTACGATGAGAGTGGAATGTGTCCACTTTGGCACTTTAAGCCTACCGGCTCAACATGGAAGCCGCAGTGTCCATCTTTGGTTTACAAGAGTCTCTTGGGTTTCGAGCATAGTTTAGCCCACATCCTTCTCGCCTGCCGCTCCCCCTTGCTGCACGCCTTTCTGCCAGGCAGGCGACTGGTTGGGGCACCCTATGTGTTGGTCCGCTGGTTTAGCCGTAGCCCTCAGTATTGCAACTCAGTATTACCAACGGTATTGTAGGAACCTGATTCAGAAACTCCGTTAAAGTAACGAATAAAAACAGTAGGATACATCTTAAGAACCCGAAGCAGAACCATAGGTTACTTAATCAGGTTCCTACATTATGTCTAGAGCCTAGGAGTGAGACGACTCACCAAGTGTCTCTGCTCCAAAAGCCAGAGAGGATCGTCACCTTGTCTTGTCGTATTTCTCACGGGATGTAACCCAGGGGTGATCTCTCCCCCCCCTTTTCACCCCAGAGCCTAAATGCCCTCATCGCAGGTTTTTCCTGGCATTCCGCCCTACTAAACTACACAGACCCAAACACCTCACACACCGAAGCCAAGCTCTTCGGTGATTGTTCAGGCAATGGCTGCTGGGGGCGGGCTGCAAGCGAGGCGGTGGGAAGCTTGGGGCGAGCGGAATTCAATCGAAGGATTTAGGGTGGAGTGCATACCTATCGATCTCTGTATCTATATACCTCTATATCTATATCTGTATATACGGCTCAGGAATCTTGAGTCAGGATCTACTCGGCAAGGCCGTCGTGCAGATTTATACTTCAAGGGAAGCCCTTCCTACGGCTGTGGAGAGAAGGTCATGGGTCTTCGCACTTGAATTTCGGGGTTTAGGAGTTTAGGGATTTGGGGGATTTCGGGAAGGTTCGTAAGTGTTCCTTCAGGTGTTCTGTGCACATTTTTTGTGTTCTAAGCATTGTCAGGAGCGGTCGGGAGGATCCCAAAGGCCAAACCTTCCACTACATTATTCATTGCTTTATAGAACAATGGTGGCTTAGGGCTTATAGGGTTTAGGGTTTCTGGACGGGCTTTTGCCAGGATCTTCGAAGGAGAACACCGAATTGTGAATTCGTGACCCTGGCGCGCTTTTCACCAATTCTCCTAGAACTCTTCTTCTACATCCCTAAATCCCAAACCTCAACCCTAACCTTCTGAACCCTAAACCCTAATCCCCTAAGCCCTTTCTCGTTGGATGCAGGCGGCGGAGCCTTCCAGGTGCGAACTTTATCGGGGCTTCCTCAGCCCTAACCTGAAACGCAGAAGACCGTTTTCTAGTGTAGGGCTTAGTGTGAAGGACCTAGATTTTGGGTGTGGCCCAAAAAATGTAGATCTTTGGTTAGCGGCCGTTTGGGATGTCTTGGCTGCAGGGCTGGGGGTCTTGTACTTGGCTTTTGGAGTTTTGGGCTTGAGGGTTTAGGGCTTATGGGGTCTAGTACTTGGCTTTTGGAGTTGTGGGCTTGGTTGTGCCGGGTTTGGGTGGAATGTGTTGGGCTAAAGGCTTGTTGGGAGCAGTCGCGACGGGCAGGGGTGAGGGAGAGGTCCTGTTTGAAGTTGGGGGCGTAGGGGTTAATGACTTTCCCTGAATTTCTGCGGGTTGAACCCAAGGCCTAAGCCATAAACCTCGGCCTTAAGCCCCAAGCCCCACGCCCGGAATCCTGAACAATCGAAGTCTTTGCCAAGCAAGACCTACTGAAGCGATGCTTTGCATTCGACCTTAACATGTGAGCAGAGTATGTTGCACGCTATTCTGTTATCGTGATGCTTCAGGATGTCCTGAGGACGAAACCCTCACACCCTGGAGCCCTAAACCCCAAAACCCTAAACCCTAAACCCTAAACCCTAAAACCCTAAAGCCCTAAACCTGGAGCCCTAAACCCTAAACCCTGGAGCCCTAAGCCGTGTAGTTTTGCCTGCAGGCGGAATCTCCAGTGCCCACCACGGCAGACCTTTGAAAGCCGTCGGCTGCGCCTTGGCTCGTCGTTTTGGAGGTCCAGGCGGTTTAGGGTTTAGGGTTTAGAGTGTAGGGTTTGTTTTATATTTGGAGGTTCATGGGACTTGGTAACTACAGTTATAAGTACTTTAGCTAGGGGACTAAGTACGAATAAGCATAGCTACCCTATTTATAACCATAGCTATTACAACCCCTAAGCAAGGGTTCTTCGAAGGTTGAGGGTTCGGTAAGAGTTAGGGTTGGAGTTCTATAAAGTGATCTGTTCGGAAGACGTGAAAAATCACCTAGCTTTAGAGGCCCAGGTTGAATTCTACTTCGTCGTTTGTTTAGGGCCCACTCTCTCGCGAAAGGCCGAGGCATTCCCCCAAAACTATCTTACGCTGTAAAAAGCATCAACACTAGAACTAAAGCTGCCTAAGCCCTGCTCACAGCAAGCTCAACTCCAATTAAACCCTAAACCTCAAGACCCGAAGCCCGAACCCGACAACCCCCCAAAAACCCCCCCAATTTCAAAGGGGTGCAAGGGAGGGATGAAGGTAGGTGGGGTAAATCCCACAATAAGACTCCTCATATAAGGGATCCTACCTACCTTCATCCCACCCTCTGGAATCTGCGGGCTTATCCAGGGTTTAGGGTTTAGGGATTCTAGAACCCTGAAGCCTGTAGAATAAACCTTATAGAACACTTCTAGAGCCCTAAACCTTACAGAACCGACCTTCTGAAAGCCTTATCGAACCGTCGACCTTATAGAGCGTATAGAACCCCACTCATAGAGCCCCAAACTTGTCTAAATCTTCATCATGTCACTCCTTCATCTCTTGTTTGATTGTTCTTGTTCTGCGCATTCTTACATAACCAGCTTCCAGGCGCAGCTGCTGCGCTGTGCGGACTGCTGTTGAGCCATTTGCATGGTTGGGGCCTCAAGCTTGCCAGGTTTGGCGAGTGTCGTGTGTTTCGGGATTTCAGGGACTCAGGAGTTCTTTCGGGACCACAAAAGCAGATTGCCTTGCGATCTTGGTGACAAGATGCGAGGTACAAGCACGGGTGACTGGCCGAGGGTTTCGTAAGTCTACGCCAAACTCCTCTCAAACCCGGAACCCTGAAACAGAGGGCCCTTCCCCTGACAGAAGGTCCTGTAGGCCCTTTGAAGGAAACTGAAGAAACCTTTACAGTCCCTTTGAAGGAACCCCGTATAGAAACCTAGTCATAGTCCCTTTGAAGGAACCCTCATATAAAATCCGAACACTAATTTTATCCCTCAGCCCGATTTGCGGCTCCCAGGCAGTTTTGCAGCGTTCGCTCCCTCGGCTCTGTCGCGGCAACGCGCTGGGAGAGTGAGGCGTCCGGGGAATAATCGGCGGACTGGAGTCTGAAGCCCTTTAAGGGATACCAAAGGGCTTGTATGAGCGCATAGGGGTTTAGGTTGTAGACGCTCATCAGATCGATACCTGGGGATGAAAGCCTTCTTCGAGTCTCGGATGCACATGCGGCTGCGGTGTTGCTCAGCGCGTCGGGCAGCTCTCGCGCTGGTGGCAGCTTGGTTTGTTGATCCGGTGGTAAAGGGCCCACCTGGCACATGGCTCGAAAGATCTTGGAACAGGACTGGCAGCCGCCTGAGAATTCGACAAACTATCTGTCATGGGGGCGGGGGGCCGATGCATGTCCTGGGGTGGTCCTTGTCTGCAGACAGCTTGGTATCCGAGTTGGTCAGTTCGTTGGCTCCCTCGCTGTTTGCTAGGAGGATGGAGGACAGTTTGGGGGTACGGAGTTTGGGATTGTTGGGATTAGGTCTGAGGGTCTTAGGTTTGTGGCTGTTTATTGAGGGTATCTGCTAGGATATGGGGCTGGGAATGGGGAACTCAAGCCGCCTTCGTGTCTGATGGTTTCTGTTGTTGGTATAAGCCTTTGGATCCTTTCGGATATAGGGAAGCGTGAACTTCGAAGCATTGAAGCTTCGGAGTCTTGGGATTGTGGGCTTTGGGCTTTGGCTTGGCTTTGGGCTGTGTGCTCGTGGCCGCACCAACCTGGCAAAAAGCAGCCTCGAGCCTGAAAACCTGAAGCCTTGATGCTGAACCCTGAACCCTACGCCCTAAACACCGACCCTAAGTCCGAAGAAAACCAGATTTTCCCAAGTTTGGGCCTAAGAGGTTCTTAGTTTTTTCGAATCGTTTTCAACGGCTTTAAAGGGCCAACCTACCAAGGCATGAACCCAACCCTCAAACTTCTTTGCGAACTTGCCCGGAGGCTTCTAGCAGCCTCCGACTCTGAGCTGACATCCAAGAAGGCCCGGGGGGGAGGTTTAGGGTTGAGGTGAGGGATGTTTAGGGCTTCGGCTTCTTTAGGGTTTTGGGGGCGAAGTTTGGGGTGGCATGCAGAAATACTGAGCCCAACCCAGCTTCCCTTCAAGCTGCCTTCTGCAGCCCCTGACAGAGCTATTGCCATTTCGCACGTCCTCGTTGCAAGACCCGGGAATAGGAGCCCTTCCAAGTCTAAAGGCGCTGTCTTCGAGAACGACAGATGGGGCTCCTTTATGGCCCTGCAGCGCAGCCTAACAAGTCCCTTCTGTATGGTTCAGGGCTGTACTCGTTGAGTTCATGCTTTGCGGATTATGATTAGTTCAGAGATGTGCTTGACCAGTGCTTCCAAGCAAAGCTGCACGCGCCCATGACTCCTCGTCCCCAAGAAGTCATTTCGATCGTAACAAGTCTCTGCCGCCAGCGCTGCCATCAGCAGAACCGCCAACAGCATTCCTGCAATTATTCTACGCTGGTCGCCCTTCCTACGCCTACTTGAGAAAGCCTTGAGGAGTCGGGTTTTCATCAGACTTTTCCGCCTCCGGGCAGAAACTCACAGCTCAAAGCCCTGTTTCTGATGTCACAGGACCCTGAGTTCTAGTTGATGGGATGCAACATCTCATGGGATCTAGTGCAGAGTCCCACTTAGGGTTTCGAAAGCCTTCACAAGCAATGTTGAGTTTTATGCTAAGCATGACATGACTTGCAATACCATGGGTAGCAGATGGCCCCGGCAACAGCGAGCAGAAGAGTAAAGAACGGTAGCATTGACATTTTCAAAAGAGGGTAGTAAGTTCACCTTCAGCCCTAAACAATACGTCCGTTTCGGGGCGTTGCAGTCAGAACCCTAAACCCTAAACCCTAAACCCCTAAACCCTAAACCGTGGCTCCTGAGCAGGCAGATCTTGCAGAGCGCTTGAAGGCTGAGGCCAGCGCAGCAAAGAAGGTGCCAAAGGGGGGGCTCCAAAACCCGAAGTGCGGGGCTTCTGGGTTTAGGGTTTAGGGTTTAGGGTTTAGGGTTTAGGGTTTAGGGTCGGCTTCTGTGTCACAGGTCTGTGGTTGGGGGTTGATATAGGGGCCTTAGCAATTAGAATAGGGTTTTGAGGGGTATATTATACTGTAGTTATAGTACGGCACCCCCAAAATCGTATAGGCAATTAGTCAGGCCCCTACATTGATGGTTCAGGGTTTGCGCGTAAGGTTTCGGAGAAGCAGGGTTTCGGAGTTTGTGTCTGCTACGACGTTCAACTTGTCAAGGAAACTTTATACGCGGTTTAGGGTTTAGGGGTTAAGGGTTAAGTTAGCACAGTACGGAAACTTTTGTATTTGCTATACTTTCGGACCATGGTATCTCAAATTACGCTCCTTGAGAAGACCCCCGTTTTGTTTGTGGGGTGCAGGCTTCCCTCTTCCCCAGCAAGTGACCGCTTCCACCAAACCCTTTCCAACGAGGGCAAAATAAGCCTGAAGCACCACATCTATGAGGCCCCTGAACAATCCCTAGACCCGAAGCTCTACATCCTAAACCCTACATCCTGAAGCAGCTAACTCTACCCTGATCATAAAGGCCACTCTGTAAAGCCACATCGCCTAGCTTTGCATGGCAGGCACGCTCCAAGGGCTTTGCCACTAACACGCAGATGCTTGGCTCCGTTTACTATGACCTTCGGGCTTAAGTTCTTTTGCCATATAGAGCTCTGAATACTCAGTACTGAAAGGTCCTTTTGGTCCCTCTGGTATACCTCTACTATTCTAAAAACCCCGAAACCCTCTTAGAACTTGTCGAAGCGCTATATTAACTTCATCACTGTGCTGGGAGTGTCTTGCTTGCAGAAACCGCCGAGCTTTGGCAAAGGCTCAAAAAAATTGAAAATCAGGCATATGGGAGTTTCTGAGACTGAAGGACCCCAATATTGCAGACCCTCCTAAATGGTAGGATCCACATTGCTCAAAATTAGGGTCCCTTTTGGGGTACCCTAAATATTAGGTGCCGTATTATAATAAGGACCCAAAACGGGACCATAATTTTGACAACCACCCATCTATTTTCGGGTGTACAAGTACCTGATTCTTCTGAAACGCGCAAAATGGATTTGAGTTTGATCGGGGGAGAGTTTAGGGTCTACAGGCTGTTCGGGTGTGGTTGTGTTTGGGCCCTTAGGCAGTTTGTAGGTGGACCTCGCCAAGCACTTTCAGCCTCAAAGCCAACATCCCAAAGAGTTGGAGAGGTGTCACTATGGTTTAGGGTTTCGGGTGTTATCAGTATCCCGCCTTATCGATAGTTAGCATGCTCTTCACCCACGTCTTCGACCCGAAAGCTTTGAATTCGAGAGGCCGCACTAGGGTACCTTGGCACAATTATGTTCAGCTCCGGGTAGCAACACCTCGAGGCCCTAGAAATCCAACCGGAGTTGAAACTGCACTCGCAAAAGCACTTGAAATCCCTGAACCCTAAGCCTCAAGCCCGTAGCGTGTTGCTGTTCAATGCGTGCAGTTACAATCCATAGAGATTCCTTCTATGGTAACTTACATCAAGACCCTTACTTACCTATACACCCTAAACCCTAAACCCTAAACCCTGAACCCTAACCAAAGATCTCCGAAGGAGCTTCGAGGCCCTCGTCGAGAGCTTCGATTCCGAGAGGTTAGGTCCCGTGGAGGCCGGTGGAAGATTCAGGGTTTAGGGTTTTAGGGGTTTTGGGACTTTAGGGCCTCAGGGGCTTGGGGGTGTAAGGTTTAGGGTTTAGGGGTTTAAGGCCACCCCTGAAGTCGGACCTAACTTGGTGTGCCAAACTGGGTGCAATTCACGTTTCGAGGCCCTTTTGCTGAACATTCGCATCGTTATCCATACAGACAAGCTAAACCCAGTGCCTCTACCGAGATTTCTGACTCCAGACACCACAAAGCCCTAAGACCCAACCTGTGCCTAGGCTCTGAAAGCACGAAGGCCCAACTCCTGACGCATTTCAAAACCCACGACGGAACCGTCTAGAACCCAACTCACTACACATTCTCGAATCCTTGCCAATTTATGCTTACAAGAGCAAAAAGGCCCGTTTCCACTCCAGAACCCTGCAAAATGTAATCAGACGCTTGTGCCCAGTGGCTGGCACTTGCGCCCGAAAGCGCCTCTAACACAACTAAAGCCTAAACCCGGCCGTGAACGGGGATGGCAGTCGGGCTGTGCCGGGACTGTACTCCGTACTGTGGAAGGCCACAGACAAGCTCCTCACCACTGACGGCCTCCAGCATGATGACTCTCCGCTGATCATTAAAAGATAGACCCACTTTGGGAGTTTGAAGTAAGGGAGCATGTGGCTCATGCTGTTGCTTTCTCTCTTTGGTGCGTGTTCTCCGTAGGTCTCGGGTCTATGCTCATCATGCGAGCTCTCGGTGGCCTTGAGAGCTGAAGATGTCTGGTACAGGTAGTCGAGATTTCGGCTTTCGTGGAGCACGAGGAGTTTCTCTTTTAGGTACTATAGTTACTAGAAGCTTACTTCCTGCGCTGCTGCACAGCAACATGAGATTCCACATACTGTCGAGCGCTGCGTTGCTTGGCAGCCTGACATCTCAATTAAACGTCAACAGATAGTCGCCCGCAGCCATGACATCTAGACCGAATCCCTCATGACGGAGGCACAACAGAATCACAAAACAGCGATATACTATATGCTATCTACTATATACTGTATGTACATTATATGCTGACATTGTATGCTATACTGTAATCTAATATATTTTGCGACAATATATGCGAAACACCGTTGGCCTGAAATTGCAAATCCAGTTCCTTGCTTCGGCGTAACCGTGCCTTTTCAAGCGGAACTCGGCAGTTTCCAAAGGCTGTCCCAGCTCCTAAGCATTGGGCAAACCTGAACCCCTAGTGAGAGAGGAGACCCGATGGGGACGTTAATATAGGGGCCTCAACAATTACCTATGATATTTTGAGGGTTCCTTGTTCTAATTACAGAATAATGGGCCCCAAAACCCTATTCTAATTATATAAATCAAAAGAAGGAAGAGCCCTACAGCCTTCCCAAGAGGCCTCCACAAAAAGGGCCTAAATGCCTTCAAAAGCTAGCTCAAAGCTTCCTGGCTCCGATATAGACTTTCGTGCTCTTGGCAATTATTTTGTATTGCTATGTTAAGTACTGTCAATAACTCCAAGGGTTTCTCAAAAGGGTTCTTTTCTATCATGGTTCTTATAAGACACTTAGGTAGAGCTTTGGGGGCCCCTTGTAACAAAAGAGTTCGCGGAAGCCGGTGGAGAATTAGGACGCGAGTCTCAAGAAGCTGGAGAAAGCCACCTTGAAGTGCACGGGGCTTGGGGGTTTCGGATTTGGTTTATGTTGGCGTAGGGTTTATGAAAGGGTCATGGGAATTTTGAGATTTGTTGGGTTGACCTGATTTTAACGGTTTCAACATTCGGACTTACAACTGAGGGCTCCTAATGTGTTTGGAGGGCTTGCGGGCTCAAAGTTGTCGAAGTACTTGTCGCAAACTAGCCATACGACAGGTTCCATGGCTGGTTAGGTTTGGCTTTCCTGATAAGGAAGCGTACCCGGAATGGTCCTTCCTGCAGACAGACTGTGTTAACAACAGCCGTTCAGACTTTCGGGTTGGCTGTAGTTTGCTGCCACAACTCAGGTCGATTTCAGGATCCAAATGTGGGTTTCTGAAAATAGGGGACCCCAATACAGCACCCTAAATAATAGGATCCTTAATATAAGGACCCCAAAATAAGGCACCCCTAATTTTCGGAAACTCCCAAATGGAACCCCGAACTCTTGACCCGAAAGCACAAATGCTTGTTGGATGGCCTAGATGCAAAAACCCCACACCCTCGACCCATATGCCCTAGATCTCTTTGTGCCATCAGGTTTGGCACGTGGCGACCACGACTCCCTTCATCTCACTGTCACGGGCTCAGATGGCTCAGGCTCATGTCTCGCCACCTCAAAGCGTCATTTCGGGTCGGGGGTCGGAATAATTAGCCACGGTTTAGGGGGTTAGGTTCAGGGTTTAGGGTTCAGGGTATGTTGTTAGGTGGGGACCCCTAATACCTTTATAGCACAAGGCCTTCCAGAACCTTTGGTCTGACTGCTGAAGGATTGTGCTACAGGAGTGGAGATTGAAGGGGGAGTTTAGGGTTTAGAGTTCTCTGACCCCTCAGTTAGGCGTCAAATTCCCGAATTCCCGAAGCCAGGGCCCGCCCCTTGCGCAACCCTCAACCAAGACTTGTGGAAACCTTCCAAGAAACCCTTACACGACCCTTACCGAAATCCCTGTAAGATAAGACCCACCAAGCCGATAGTTTAAAGCGTTTTTCGTAGCCCCACACCCTCAGCCTTGAACTCTGGCGATCAAAATAGAACCCTGAACCCTAAACCCTGAAACCCCTCAACAAAAACGCCCGAACCTTCAAACCCTAAATCCTGAAACCCTAAACTGAAGCCTTGAAACTCTAAACCTCGAAACTCTAAAAACATTGAAACTCTAACCCTTGAAACCCCAAACCCTGAAACTCTAAACCCTGAAGCCCTGAACCCTGAAACCCGAAACCTTGAAACCCTAAGCCCTGAAACCCTAAACCCTGAAACCCTACCCCCCTGAAACCTTAAAAGCCTTGAAACCCTAAACCTTGAAGCTCTAAAAACCCTGACACCTTAAAAGCCTTGAAACCCTAAACCCTTCGCCCCTAGACCTTAAACCCTAAGCCCTAAACCCTAAACCCTAAACCCCTAAACCCCCAAACCCTAAACCCCTAAACCCTAAACCCTAAACCCCTAAACCCCCGAACCCTAAACCCCTATCCCCCAAACCCTAAACCC